AGGAGGTGCTGGAGGAGGAGGAGGAGGAGGAGAAGGAGGAGGAAGAGGAGGAGGAGGAAGAGGAGGAGGAGGAAGAGGAGGCTCATTGCTGGTCAATCAGCCCGAGGTGTCCCAGCCCCACGGAGCTGAGCAGGGGCAGGGGGAGCTCCAGAGGGACAGGAGGAGGAGAAGACCCCCGTTCAGACAGGAGGAAGAAAAGAAAACCTCAGTAGTTTAGCAAGTTAAGAACTTGTAACAGTGAAAAGACCCCAAAGGCTCTGGGAGCACATCCTGCCAGCCCCCCCCCAGTGGGGCAGGGGGGGCAGAGATCCAGGAGCTGGTGGCTGCAGTGAAGCCACCTGGGGTGTCCCCAGCACCTCAGCCTTGCTCTGCAGGGCACAGCGGGCTTGGCCAGGGGTGTCTCTTCTGCACATCTGGCCAGAGGTGGCTGCCTTGGCTCCACACAGGCTGCCACGAGGCCAGAGGCTGCTGCCAGGCACGGAAGCATCGGGTCCCTGACCCTTCATGCAGGTGACTCAGGGGGGTTTTTTGTCCCCTGGCACGTGTCCCCAGGAGTGGCTGGGCCTGGGCAGCAGCTTCAGGGAGCTTCTGGAGTTGATCCATCCAGACCTGGACAGGGTGAAAGGCAGAAACCAGCGAGGAGGGGGACAGAGGGTGAAGCTGGACCTCCTCCTGTTGTCCACAGGGTCCATGGGCAGGTCCTGGGGTCTCCGGGGGGGTGTCTGTGGGGGTGGCCCTGGGCCAAGGAAGGAACAGCAGAAGGAACAGCAACTCCAGTGTACGACTTCCAGTATGTCCAGTCACAGGCTGCTTTTCCAGGCCAAACTCCAGCTTTTTTTTTTTTTTGCTCTTGGAAAGGGGCTCCAGTGCTGAGCAATTCCAGTGTTGTGAAGAGCTGACGTGGGACCACCAGGCCAGAGCAGGATGGACCTCCTGTCATCCACACTCTGGGCTGTGGCAGACCCGTCCAGTCCAGTGTCATGCTTTGAAAACTCCAGTGTTGGCAGGGGAGGGAGAAGCACTGGAGGACACAAGTGTCCCCAGAAGGGAAGGAGAGAGACGTTGGGGATGGTGGGAATCGCTGCGAGGTCAAGGGGTTGGAACCCCATGATCCTAAAGGTCTTTTCCAGCCATGGAGATCCCAGGGGGCTGGTGGTGCTTCTGTGGTTTAGGTCCTGTGTGTGTCCTGGGCTTCAGCCCCTGCCTCACCAGCCACAACCAAACCAGCTCCAGGCCCCACGTGGGAGATGGGGACGAGGTGGGGCTGGGGGAGAGTGGAGGAGGGTCTACAGGAGTGTCCCCAGTGTCACCAGTTCCCCCCTCCTCTGTCCAACCAGAGGGCACTGGCACTGCCAGGACTCACTCACAGAGCCAGAAGAACTGAAAATAATAGTCAGTGAAAAGGTGTCCCCTCTGCTCAGGAGTGGAGCTGCAGTTGGCTTGGCCCTGTGGGAGAGGAGAAGAGGAGCTTTCAGGCAGGTCCAAGGTGGGGAATTCTGCTGGAATGACGTGCTGGGGCAGAGAAGAATCATCCCCCCACCACCCAGGTTACTGTGGAAGGCAAGAGCCACGATGGAGAGGGCCTTGGAGGCCTCTCAGAGCCATGTGGCTGGTGAACCTGCCATGGTCCCCTCCCTCTGCTCCGCCCC